TTTCCCCGGCCGCTTCTCTCGCTCTCAGCCCCAGTGAGGGGCAGGTGAAGGGCGCAGGGTCAAGGCCGCTGGTTTCCATTTGTTGTGAGGGGGGAAAGTGTTGTTGGGTTGTTATTTTTCCAGAGTAACCTTCGGTGTTGACCTTGTGCACCACTCGGGTATGAAAACCAGGAGAGACTCAAGTTCTCCAGGGTAAAACTTCTTCAACGTAGGGGATAAATTCAAACCTTTTAGTGTTGGTTTGAATTTAGGACTTTGTCTAGTTTAGACGTGACTTTTTAGTGGCAAAACTACATAAGGACTGGATCATCCTTAAAAAAAACCCCAAACAACCCCAAAACTAGTGTTTTTTAACAGAAATAAACCCCAAAAAACAGGTTTTTTGTAACATATTACAATTACTTGGCTTTCCTTCAACATATCTTGTCTGTTTCCAGATAAAAGCAGATAATTAAAACATTTGAAGGATGGGAGGTCTTTCTAGATGTTTGGTTTTGTTTTTCCTACGTGACAGTGCTATCAATTAAGTTAAGAAAGCTCAAGGAAGAAGGTAAAACTTAAGTAAGAAGCAACGTAACTGTTTTGCAATAGCTGTGGCTTGTGAAAACTCTAAATAAGTTAAGATATTGCTGTGATAGTTTAACTCAGCTGGCAGCCAAACGTGACACAGACACTTGCAGCTCCCCCCCCCGAGGGAATTGGGGTGAGAATTGAAGGGGTAAAGGTGAGGAGACTTGTAGGTTGAGAGAAGAACAATTTAATAATGAGAGTAAAAGAAAATTGGATTAGTAATGATAATAACAACAATTATATAGATATATATTTATAAAAAAAAGAGTGATGCACAGTACAATTGTTCATCACCTGCCGATAACGATCCCGGAGGAGCAAAAAGGAACCCTGAAAATGAAACTGCAATCCTGGAAAAATGAGCCTGAGTGATTCCTGAGAGAATTCCCCCCCTTTCTGGTCAATCCCAGTGAATATATTAAACACGACGTGATATGATCTGGAATATTTTATTGGTACATCCAAATATCAATTCTGGGGTTTACTAATTACTGCACTTTTCTTCTCCACCCTGCCTTACCCCCCCCTCCCAGTCCTCTGCTCTTGCAAACTACCCGAGCACGGTGTCCTTGTAGTTATCATCATTCTTCTCATAACAAATCCCACGCTGAAACCAAAACGTGATGCTTTTTAGCTACTAAGAAGAAAATTCTCTCTATCTTAGCAAAAACCAGGACAATTATCTACTGGAAGATGAAATCCTGGATTAAGAACACACTCACTCATGCTTCTATGACTAGCAGTGATCTTTTAGCATTTCTTCACCTTTTAACTTTATAAAAGTTTTTAATATTCTCTGAAAATGCTTCTTTCCACTCTGTCAGTGCCTGTGTTCTTCGTGGGCAGCAGTTGGGCTTTGAGCTGCAAAGATCTCATATCTCACCTTCTGGTTTTTGTTTTAGCAGATGCTCCGAACCATTGCCAGGCACGGCTGGAGATCACGGTCTAGTAAACCTGCTCAAAATATATCTACAAGCAAACCCGGAGCTGGTTTCAGCTTCGGTAAGTATTGAAAAGAAATATGTAAAAAGTTAAAGACAAATGGCAGATTTAGAGGAAAAAAGAACAAATCAAATCCCAGAACAACCGTGTTGCGATTCAATATGAATTTACAATCAAGATGTTTGTTCTGAATAGATTTCTATTTTTTTTTCTTAAAAAGTATTCCAAAACTAAAATTATTTTCTTCTCCAGCTTAGGAAAGCCAGCTGTGTGTGATATTTGTGTGATTTTCTTCTTCTTTTTTTAAACTAATATCTGTCTTGAGCTTTTTTTATTGCCAAAGTTACCTTTGAATAATAATATCACCTATTTATTGCCAAAGTTACCTTTGCTTTGAATAATAATATCACATATTTATTGCCAAAGTTACCTTTGCTTTGAATAATAATATCAAATATTTATTGCCAAAGTTACCTTTGCTTTGAATAATAATATCACATTGGCTTTTAAAAATATTAAAAGAACTGTATGTGGTCTTAGTTGAACTTGGTTCTAAAGAAATATATAATTTTCTTTATAAATTAATTAATCTTGGCATATGATAGATGTAAAAGCAAACGTAGTGGGTCAGCAGCTAGATGTTTGAAAGGCAAAATCATCAAATGAGGAATATTTATCTCCTCCTTCATTGAATTAGCACAGCATGTTTCTCTTGGTAATACATTTTGTGTGACGTGGCACTTCCTACCCCACTTTCAATATTTTCAATTTCAATTTTTTGACTAATTTTGTCCAAAATCTGTGTGTTTATTATAGTTGTTGATTAGAGATCAGTGGAAATTTCCTCTAAAGAGGCCCAAGAAGGTGGGTCCCAGTGGTTTGGATTGTCCTGGAAGGAATTGAAACTTTAATTTCTCTTTTCTCATAGTCTGCCAATTGGCAAAATTTGTGACATTTTAAATTTTTTTTAATTTTTATTTGATTTTTTTTTAATAGAACTTACTGATGAACAGAAAGAGTTTCAAGCCACCGCTCGTAAATTTGCCCTGGAGGAAATTATCCCTGTTGCTGCACAATATGACAAAACTGGAGAGGTAAAGCTATGATACAGTAGGAAAAAAAAATAGCCTTTTACTTTAAACTGTGTCAAATAAAATGGTAATGTGATGAATGTCAATAAAATGTTAATAAAATGGTAATAAAATGTTAATGTGATGACTCAGACGGTGACTTTCCCTGTCTATTGCAGTATCCTCTTCCACTCATAAAACGGGCTTGGGAACTTGGTCTTATAAATTCACACATACCAGAAAGTTGTGGTAAGTAAATATTCTTTTTTACCTGTAAAATAAAACAAAGAAAAGACCTTAGAGGATGTTTATATGTGTAATTATGGATTCTGTATCCAATAAACACTTGCACACTTGAATAATCTCAATTGAATCGCTAGGCAGGTTGACACAAACAAGTGTTACAGGGGGTGGATGTAATCAGGCAACAAATTAGATCCTGATTTAGTAACTTCTGAGCAGCTTTTTTCTGCCATCATTACAATTGCCTGATGTTCCCCTGTGTGGTGTCAGCCCATGAGGCAGAGAAATTAGAAGGTCTTATTTTGATCTCATCTCTTGTCACAGGCTGGAACAATTTCTGAGTTTCTAATTTCAGAGTTTATTCCAGAAGGACAGTTTTCCAGTTGAGATGAGGTGCAGCAGAGCAGTGCTTAGATACATGACTAACCATGGAAAAAATGTTAAAGTTTAGAATTTTAGATCCTATTTTATTTTTTTAACACGTATATAAAGAACCAAAGTTGGGGAGATGTCCATAGCAAGCCCCATTTTTTTTTTTTCCAAGACTTATCAGGGGGTATATATATTTTATATTAAAAGTATATTTTATTTTTTAAAATTAAATAAATTTTATACAATTTTATTTTATTTTAATATAGTATATTTTGTATCAAAAATTTAATAAATCAGATTAAAGAACCAAGAGATAAAAGGAACAATTATGAGGATCACATTTATTCAGCCACCAATTCTAGAGCTGGATTATTGCAATGTCTAATCACTTGGTTATTAAATTAAAACTTACAAGTGACAAATTGGGACACAAGATCTTGACAAGGTCTGTGAGGGACAGCTGGGAAAATACATCCCAGGAAAATACACCACGTAAATGAAGAGCAAGTAAGATGATATAGTGGACAGGCTTCAACATGAGGTGCTAACAGAAGGGTTTTTGTAAAAGGAAGTACAAAAAAAATAATAATTGGAGTTTTCTGAAGTAAAATCCTAGAAACACTGAATGGTTTGAGTTGGAAGGGACCTTTAAAGATCATCTAATCCAACTCCGAGCAGCTGTGAAGAAGTGTGTGAACAAGGGATGCTTGATTGGTATAAAATGCTCAAACTTCAGAAATTAATTTGAAAAAAATAATCAGATTTAATTGTAAAATGGTCCAACTTCGGAAATGAATTGGAAGAAATCATCAGGTTTCATTGTAAAATGGTTGAACTTCAAAAATGAATTGAAAAATTAGTCAGGTTTAATGATAAAATGCTGGAACTTCAGAAATGAATTAGAAAAAATCACCAGGTTTAATGATAAAATGGTCGAACTTCAGAAATTAATTTGAAAACAGTCATCAGATTTAATAATAAAATGCTTGAACTTCAGAAATGAATTTGAAAAAATCAGGTTGAATTATAAAATGCTCAAACTTCAGGAATGAATTTGAAAAAAATCATCAGGTTTAATTATAAAATGCTTGAACTTCAGAAATTAATTGGAAAAATGATCAGGTTTCATTATAAAATGCTCGATAGTATCGATGCTAAAATTGTACGTAGGTTCAAAAAGAGCCTGGGCAAATTCATGGAAGAAAAAGTCTGTTAAAGGTCAGAATAACAAAAATACCAAAGATACTTTTGGTTGAGGAAATCACCTGAAGGTTGGGGAAAATGATTGGTTTATTTATTAGGAAAAATGATTGAAATTTATTAGGAAAAATGATTGAAATTTATTAGGAAAAATGATTTAAATTTATTATTAAAATTCTTGAAATAATAATAATTATTATTGTTGTATTTTTATGCACTTCCCAAAGTTTGGATAATTAATTTTTGGTAAATCATGAAGATGTTTCCACTTGAAACTTATTTTAATTGATGAAATATTTCAACTGCAGGTGGTCTTGGCCTTGGCAGTTTTGAAGCATGCCTTATTACAGAAGAATTAGCTTATGGATGTACAGGGGTTCAAACTGCCATCGAGGCAAACTCCCTTGGGGTAAATTCCACCTTTTCTTACATCCTTTTAAAACTAGAATCTTGTGCCCTTTAAAATAATAGCAAATATTTACTAAAAAATATTGTTCTAATATATTTTCTTTCAGCAAATGCCAGTAATCATTGCAGGGAATGAACAGCAGCAGAAGAAATATTTAGGAAGAATGACAGAAGAACCAATGATGTGTGTAAGTAGAACTAAAAACACCACAGATTGTTCCTAAATTGTATTAAATCTTATTTTTGTTAATTATATTTTTTAAAAATTTGTTGTTAATTATATATATATATTTTTTTAAACAGTGATATCTACTCATAACATAACCTGTTCTGGTTTGTAAACACCACAATGGCATTTACTGAAAGTCAAGGAATGTGGAATTAAATGCATTTAATAAGCAAATAGAATTTATTATCCACTTATTGAAAATTAATAGTTTTTATTTCTCTTTCAAGAGAAAATGTAGGAGTTTTAAGAAAAAATACGAGGTTTCTATAAGCACAAACTAAACTCAGATGGGCATTTCAATATTTGTTTCAATATTAAATTTAAGTATTAAATTTAAGTATTAAATTTCAGTATTAAATTTCAGTATTAAATTTCAGTATTAAATTTCAATATTAAATTTCAATATTAAATTTCAATATTAAATTTCAATATTATCTAAGCGGTATTTGTTACATAGAAAGGAGTAAAGATTCATGTTCAATGTGTTTAAACCCGAACAATTAAGCTTATTAAACTAACTTATTAAAAGTTACAGGATTGTTTTGTTTATCCTTAAAAGTAAAGCACAATTTTAAGTATTATGTATTATGTATAATTTAAGTATTATGGATTTATAAGGGAAAATTAACACATGTTTGGTTTCTTGCTCAGACAGTTCTTGGGGTTGGGGTTTTTTTTTTTGATGTAGTATTTTAGTGTTTTCCACACAATTCACTTAAAATTTTTACAGATCATTTCAGTGCACATAATTTGTGGTTAAATAAAAAAAAAGAGAACTTTTTATTCCTCAAGATTTTTACATTTACTTTTATTTTAGGCTTATTGTGTAACGGAGCCTGGAGCGGGCTCTGATGTGGCTGGGATCAAAACCAAAGCTGAGAAGAAAGGAGATGAATATGTTATTAACGGCCAGAAAATGTGGATCACAAATGGTGGGAAAGCAAACTGGTGTGTTGACTTTAATTCACCTTCCAGTTTTTGTTACTCTGCACTGAAATGTGTGAATATTCGAGTTAGAAACTAATGTTTCTGTGAAGATCTGTGACAAATCTGAACGTTTCATGACACTTCACCACACCAGGGCTGTGTCAGTGTGGTGAATGACATCAGTTGCTTCTGATGCTACTAGAAACATCTCCCCACTTTTAGTTTCCATAGAAGAACTCCAAGGATTTTATCCATTTATGTGTAAACTTTATCCATTTATGTGTAAATTTTATACATTTATGTGTAAACTTATACACTTATGTGTAAACTTTATACATTTATGTGTAAACTTTATAAACTTACGTGAAAACTTTATACATTTATGTGTAAACTTTATTTTGTCGAAAGTTGAAAAACACACACACATTTATGTATAAAGTTGAATTTTCTCCTTACTTATTTCCTTGTTCAAGGCAGAACCATCAAAGAGAATCTCCCAGGTATCTTTTGACGTTACCAAACATCATAAATGTGATTTACAAATGTTTCATTTCTAACAGGAAAAAAAACCCAACAAAACTTATTTGCAACTTAAACTTAGAAGAATAAAATGAAGATATTTGAAATCAAGAGGATAACATAACATTTTGCATGTGATACTCTTATTTCCTGAGCAATAACTTTGATGGATGTGCTGTTAAGAAGTTTCTTTGTACTATTTCTGAAGCTGATTGTAAAATTAAGACTTAAAATACATGGAAAAAAGGTGGAGAAACTGAAGGAATTTAATGAAATCTTGGTTTCTGCGGTTAAGAGATGCACTGACACTTCCTCTCTCTTGATCCCTCTCAGTTTGTTGGGTTTTTTTTTTGGGGGGAAGAGGCAAGAAAAAAGGATTGTTAACTTATTAATAGATTTATTATATGGTACACACACACACACA